TACATTTCTAAAAATCTGATTCCACCATTAGAACGAATCTTCAACCTTATGGGTGCCAATGTCAGAAGTTGGTATGATGAGACGCCCAAGGTTCAGCGCGTTCGCCGGCTCGAGGTTAATCTGGATCAAGGTCAACTTAGAGAGCTGGCAACAAACAAGAAAACACTCGAGTCATACATGAAATCATCATCATGTCTTGTTTGCAAAGACAAACTTGAGACCGAAGGATTCCTCTGCCCTGAGTGCCAGTCCAATTCTTCTGAGTCGATGCTTTCTCTGCAGAATAGACTCAACATTGAGGAAAAGAAGTTTCTAGACATCCAGAGCGTTTGCCAGGGTTGTTCTGGTTTATCGCCACTAGAGGAAGTGAAATGCGATAGTAAAGATTGTCCTGTATTTTATACAAGGACGAGACAGAGGGCAAGACTAAAAACAGAAAGGGCCTTCATGGTGCCAGCTATGCAGGCTCTATCGGCAACTTTTGAAACGGAGGTGGATTTCACAAACCTTGAGTGGTAATTAACAGTTTTCCTTGTTCATTTCTGCAATTAAGACTTTCTAGGGTCCTGTGATATCATTTCAGAGGCATAATCTTAGAGATGTAATATTTCAAAGCTGCCAAAGTAAAGCAATAATGCAATCATGAAAGTATAATCAATACGTGTAACATTGGCATCATGTGGGATAAGGATGACTTCTTGCGTACCGGCACTACTATAGGTATCTAGATAATAATGTACGATCAAACATAAATGTCACTCACTCTCATCAGTCATTGTCATATCCTGTAGGTACTATTTAGAACCTACTACTTATTACTATCAGATAATAGTCGTAATTAGCGATTATGTGAGGTGTTTAAAAATACAATCCCCGGTGAGCACTGGTCGTGGATCCAATCAAGGTTTTTATCCAAGCTCTACAATATTCCCCTCCTTCAATTGTGATTGTTAGCTTACTACCAATCCAGCACTCTCAAACCTACTTCATAAGTTATCTTTCAATTTGCGTGCCGGATGTGAGACATTATATGAGTGAGAGAAACAGCCTTTTTTTAAACATTAGGAAAATCATAATTTTTCAATTTTTTCTTTTTACAATCAAATTCACCGTCCACAATTCTCTAGAAAGGTATCCCAAGGATTGCCCGGCGTTTACAGGTCTGACGTCGCCACATGTTTTAGATGCCTTGCTTTCTTTGAATTGTTAAACATCAACAACTTCCCAAGTGTTGCTTTTTCCCACACTTCAACGGAATTTACTATTTGATTTCATGGAGATGTTCCGCTAATTACAATCCTTTCGTCTCTATACATGAAGGCGATATCATAATGGGAGGTTTAACATGGTTTCTTTTCATCTATTGCTTAGGTGGTCTCACCTTTCTTCCCCTCGTCGTAATAGCCATATTACTTCACGCATACTTTACCTTTCCAGATCGCGACGACACTGGCTCACGAAAAGATTACGACCCAATATTTCGACCCGGCGATGATGTCGATGCTATCAGATCCGCACAAAAATCCCTGGGTGAGAAGTTTCAACTTCACAACAACCACGAAGCGGATGTAGCTGCAGGATATTTCGCGATTTGCAGGGAATACTCACCAGGCGGAGTAAATGGAAAGCCTCCGGAACGAACAACTCCCACTGGATCAACTACAGTCTCTACGCCCAGTCCTAGCGTTTATCAGAGCATGTACAGAAGCTTATTTGAGAGGAAGACAAACAATGGCCCATTAGATAATAAGACAGCGGGGAAACCGCAGAAAAAGGGCGGCAATGTGTTCTACGTGGTCTTGAGGTAATTCCCGCGGAAGAAAGAGACCGGTGTCTCCGATATATCAGGGTATACTGACGATTATGCTAGGCATGGACATTTAATGCTGTTTGATGATGATGAGCAACTCGAAGTTCGCTACGTAGTGTCTTTGGCACATCACGACGTTAGCATATACTCGGGACTGAATGATATTACATCAGAAGGAGAATTGTTTATCAAAAGAAATGCCATTTGCTTGTCAAGGAAGCAGGGTGTTGGAGAGATGACTGCCGATGGCAAGCCATCTCAACCCTTCTATTTGTTTTCCGAGAATTGTTCTGATAAGGAAGATTTCTATTTCGCGCTTCTGCGAAACCAAGAGTCGGACTCGACACCAAAACCACCGGTTCCGTTGCAGTATGATGTGAAGGATATCATCACTCTTGTACAGAGGTTGCATTCATCCGAAGAACACCTTCAGACAAGATGGATTAATGCTTTAGTTGGCCGGATATTTCTTGCGCTTTACAAGACACCAGAAGTTGAGGATTTCATTCGCGCAAAGATCACCAAGAAGATTTCAAGAGTCAAAACTCCCAACTTTCTAAGGCAAATTACTCTTCGCAACGTGGATATGGGAGAGGCAGCACCAGTAATCACGAACCCACGTTTGAAGGATTTAACCGTAGATGGACAGCTTATCGTAGAGGCTGATATTCGCTATACAGGTAACTTTCGTCTCGAAGTTGCCGCCATAGCTCGCCTTGAGCTCGGCGCCCGCTTTAAAGCTCGAGAAGTGGACTTACTGTTAGCCGTTGTTTTAAAGAAGATTGAGGGGCACATCCTTCTCCGAATTAAGCCGCCTCCCTCAAATAGGCTATGGATTACATTTGAGACCATGCCAAAGATAGATATGACAATAGAGCCCATTGTGAGCTCACGGCAGATTACATATACATTGATTCTTCGCCAGATCGAGAATAGAATCAAGGAAGTTATCGCTGAGAGTTTAGTCTTTCCCAATTGGGATGATTCGCCATTTGCCAGTACTGTAGACAAGCTATGGAGAGGTGGCATCTGGGCAGATGACCGACGCGCCGAACGTTCTCATGATGCCGAAACTCTTGCCGCCGAGGATGGAGACGTAGAAGAGGTAGAGATTCTAGAAGCCGAGAACGACGACTCTACACCACCTGCACCACATATAGAAAAGAGCTATAGTGCTCCTGTGCTTGATATCAACCTTTCAACTACGATGCATTCACGCAAAGGCATGAAATCTACTTCAAATCTTGTCAGCCCATTGTCCCGTAGCTCTTCCACAGGGATTGAGGTGCGACCTTCGACGGGCGACAAACCACGAGCCCTTCGTTCGGGATCCTTCGCTAACGCCTCTTCTCCAGTGGTCACTACTGACATTACTAACGCGGACGCATTCAAGCCTTCGAGCCCTCCCAATGGAGATCATGCGGCAATCTCTATGGCTAAATTGTCCGCAAAGGCAGAACTCCCTGCAGAAATTCCTACCGAGTTTCCCAGTCGGCCCAAAAATGTTAAACTGAGTAGCAGCCAATCCTCATCATCTTCGAGGGACTCTTCACATTCGGAGAAAGCTTCCATGGGCAATTCAATACCGCAAGCTTCTTTGGAGCCATCATTGCTCACTGATAAATCCAGCATAAATTCTTACCCCTCGAGTCCTGCGAGTTTGAGTACTGCATCAATAAAGTCAGAATTTTCGACTCCTACCGGTTTGGCTGCTCCGAAGCGTGAGAATACCACATCTTCAGCAAAATCCTCCACGTCGGAAACCAAACGATTGTCTCTTGCCGCCGTTACCAACGCAGCGGCAACAGCCAAAACCTGGGGTGTAAGTGTATCATGAATTCCCCTTTGACGAATGCTTAGCTAGTGCATCCACTTTATGACACTACAAATCGTCCATCCTGAGTATGCTTATGTTCCTTGAATACAGACTAACATTGGCCTTATAGTGGAACGCTATCCAACGACGTAATGAGCATAGGGGAGGCAACTCATCAGAGTCGACGGAACCAGCCCAGCCGCGCGTCATGGGCCGTGGACAACCGTTACCTCCTCCTGGAGTTCCTTTACCTTTACCAGATAAGAAGACAAAAACAGCCCCTATCCCCGTGCCTAAGCGGAAGCCAATGCCTCCTCCTGCTTTGCAACAAAGGCACCAAACAGAATCACCTACCAGACGGCAGCATCACACTGCTCCACCACCTCCTCCACCCAGACGTAATTCTCGGAAAGATGTTGATACTGGAGACGACGGTCTCCTAGTTGTGTCGGCACCATCAGAACCAACAACGCCGGTAACCGAAGATTCACCTCAATATATGCAACCATGGGTGGATGACGTGGACGAGACGCTTGAAGAAACCCATCAATCTAAGATTGATGTTCCTTCGCCCGCTACCTCCGTTGCTCATGAGCCACCCCAACTTCCAAAGAGGCGATACCCACGGCGAGTTGCCTCAACTAGCCCCGAAGAAGATGGGCATAAGTTACCCTCGTGGATGGCAGCACAGGAGCGAGAAGCTCGGACTAAAAGCACTTTTGTTGATGAAGATGCAGGTCTTTGAGTTGTGATTTCGGATTTTTGGCTTTTACCTTGATCTCTCGAATAAGTCTGGTGCATGAGTGGCGCAGTACAAATACAAATTTGTTGGGTTCATATAGGAATTGAGGAATTGGTTATCCTACATTTGGCAGGGCGTTGTATGGTTCATAGCAATGGTAGGTAGGAACAGGACGGACATATGCAATGAATGATGAAATACCAATATCACAGTAATCTCATAAATACAAGCATCAAGACAAGACTACATCACCACGCTCTACGACTAGTAATAATACCTTTCATTGTCATGAGATGAGATTGCATTAATATGAAATTATTGACTTTGCAAGAAGATTAGGGTATTTCCTGGGCGTGCATCATTCATTCGTATGCAACACTGCACAGCCACAATAGACAGCTCCATGGCATAAAATTGACCGCCAGCCGCCCCATTACGCAGCTCCACTAAAACTTACCCCCGTACAAGCAAGCTACCGGGCCAGTACTAGAACAGTATGCATTATCAATATCTCGGTACAGCACCTTCGTCTTGTTAATCTTTTGATGTTTCCGACACTTCAACCTAGATAATTCTTCTCATACTTTACCATCTCTACTCCTGTCGATTTTGCGCTCTAGACGCTCCCAGCCATGTCGTACGCGGCATCTGCCAGAAACGTGGATCATACCAAGTAAGTTCGCGGGTATTTCGGGCTTCTCAAGCTTTCTATCCCCTATTGTTGGCAAACTATGAACTGTACTGACATTGTTATATTCGATCAGATCCGAGGCAGAACTTGCGATCAACATTCGGAAAGCTACAAGCATCGAGGAGACCGCGCCGAAACGCAAACATGTTCGTAGCTGTATTGTTTATACATGGGACCATAACAGCTCGGGTGCCTTCTGGGCTGGTATGAAAGTGTCAGTTTAAACCCTTTTTTACATGTATTGCAAAGACACCGTACCGGGCATCAGAAGTTCATGAGACTCCAATGATATAGAGAGGTAGAAAATGACGGAAATGACTAACTTCAAACCATTTTCACAGACAACCCATTCTTGCAGATGAGGTCCAAACATTCAAAGCGTTGATCACCGTTCACAAGGTTCTACAAGAGGGTCACCCATCGACTTTACGTGAAGCTATGGCGAATCGAAGTTGGCTCGACAGTTTGAATAGAGGCATGTCTGGTGAAGGTATGCGGGGCTACGGACCTCTGATAAAAGAATATGTCAACTTCTTGATGTCCAAATTGAACTTCCACCAACAGCATCCTGATTTTAATGGAACATTTGAATACGAGGAGTACATCAGCTTAAAGGGGATCAACGACCCAAACGAAGGTTACGAAACCATTTCGGATCTTATGACTTTGCAGGATAAGATCGAAAGGTTTCAGAAACTGATATTTGCGCATTTTCGAAATGGAGGCCACAACGAATGCAGAATATCGGCCTTGGTTCCATTGGTCCAGGAGAGTTATGGAATCTATAAATTCATCACGAGCATGTTACGGGCTATGCACACAAGTATGTTAGGAAGCTCATATCTAACTGTCGTATTCTGACGTGACCTGCAGCAACCGGCGATGAAGATGCTCTTGCGCCCCTGAGGGAAAAATACGATTCACAGCATCACCGCCTTGTAAAGTTTTATTACGAATGCTCCAACCTCCGATACCTCACGAGCTTGATCACTGTGCCAAAGCTACCGCAAGATCCACCCAATCTCCTTTCCGAAGATGATTCGGCTCCCAGATTACCTCAGCGACCGAAGCAAGAGATTGAGAGGCAAATTACACCTCCGAAGCCCCCTAAGACAGAGGAGCCGGATGAAATTGGCGAATTCTGGAAGAGTGAACAGGATCGACAAAACAGGGAGTATGAGGAACAACAGAGGGTGCTAGCGGAGCAGCAAAGACAACAAATGTTAGCACAACAACAAGCACAACTTCTAGCGCAGCAAAACTATGAAGAACAGCAGCGTCAACTGGCTGAGCAGCAAAGACGAGAGCAAGAACAATTGATGCTGCAACAATCTCAACAACAAACTTATGGTCGTCTGGCGGAACTCGAACGGGAGAACTTTGAGGCTCGAGCACAGTATGCAAGAGATCAACTTATGCTACAACAATATGATCAGAAGATAAAGGCACTAGAGAATGAGCTTACGCAGCTGCAGAACAGTTATGGGCAACAGATTGGAAGCAAAGAGGATCAAATCAAAGCTTTACAAGAGCAAGTCAACACTTGGAGGACTAAATATGAAGCACTCGCGAAGCTATACTCTCAATTGCGACACGAACATCTCGACCTACTTCAAAGATTCAAGAGTGTTCAGCTGAAGGCAGCTTCAGCCCAGGAAGCAATCGACAAGCGGGAAAAGTTGGAGCGAGAGATCAAGACCAAGAATCTCGAGCTCGCTGATATGATTAGAGAGAGAGATAGAGCTTTACATGAGAAAGACCGTCTCACCGGTGGTAATCGGGAGGAAGTCGAAAAACTCAAGCGTGAGCTTCGTATGGCTCTCGATCGTGCGGACAATTTGGAGCGAAGCAAGGGCAACGAATTGTCCACGATGCTTTCCAAATACAATCGTGAAATGGCAGATCTCGAGGAGGCCCTTCGCAACAAGACCCGAGCATTACAGGATGTCCATGCCAAATACAGTGAAGGTGGCTCAGATGCCGAAAGACTGCTCAAGGATAAGGAGGACGAATTGGAGGTCTACAAGCAAAGTTTGGACGATGCGCTGATCAGACTCAATGAGCTCGAGATGTCGAAAGGCGACACTGATCAGGCTTTAGATGGAGAGATTGACGCTATGCTCCTCTCAAATATTGACAAAATCAACGACATCATTGATTCAGTCCTTCAGAGTGGAGTTCAACGTGTTGATGACGCTCTTTACGAGCTTGATTCCACTATGCAAGCTGGTAACCAGAATGCAACCCCATCCTATGTCCTTTCGCAAATCGAAAAGGCTTCAGCAAGTGCTACTGAATTCGCTACCGCATTCAACAATTTCATAGCGGACGGTCCAAATAGTACCCATGCTGAAATCATTCGAACTATCAACGTCTTTGCTAGCTCCATTTCCGACGTACTTAGTAATACCAAGGGTCTCACAAGGCTTGCGACAGACGACAAGAAGGCCGACCAGCTTACCAATGGGGCGCGCCAATCAGCGCAGTCTACCGTTACATTTTTCCGTGCCTTGCAAAGTTTCCGACTTGATGGCATGGATCCGATGCAGCGAACTGAAGTTGTCATCAATAGCAACAATGAGGTACAGATCCATCTGCAACGCTTGAACAAACTTGCAGACACATTTGCGCCAAATAGCGGTAAACTTACAAACAATAAAGGCGATTTGGGAGATTTGGTTGACAACGAGCTTACCAAGGCCGCTGATGCAATCGCTGCTGCCGCTGCACGTTTAGCAAAGCTCAAGTCCAAACCCAAGGATCAATACTCAACATACAAACTTGAGATACACGATTCAATACTTGATGCTGCTATTGCCGTTACAAATGCCATTGCCAGATTGATCAAAGCGGCTACTGTTACTCAGCAAGAAATCGTTCAGGCTGGTCGTGGCTCGTCATCCAAGACAGCTTTTTACAAGAAAAACAACCGATGGACTGAGGGTCTCATCTCTGCCGCCAAAGCAGTGGCAACATCAACCAATACATTGATTGAGACTGCAGATGGAGTTCTTTCTGGACGCAACAGTCCGGAACAACTCATCGTTGCTTCCAATGATGTTGCAGCCTCCACAGCTCAGTTGGTCGCTGCTAGCAGAGTCAAAGCCGGTTTCATGAGCAAGAGCCAAGAGAGCTTGGAGCAAGCTAGTAAAGCTGTTGGCGCAGCCTGCAGGATTCTTGTCAGACAAGTGCAGAGCATGATCAAAGATCGAGATCAAGATGTTGAAGGAGAAGATTACGCCAAGCTTGGGGCGCATGAGTTTAAAGTCAGAGAAATGGAGCAGCAGGCAAGTTCCCTTGTATAACGATTTCTTTGAATTATTACTAACGTTTATGCTCACAGGTTGAAATCTTACAACTCGAAAACAATTTGTCGGCGGCGAGGAAGAGATTGGGTGAGATGCGAAAGATATCTTATTTGGAAGACTAGATCTTATGGCAGTGGTCGACGGTGGCTCTCTGTAGGCCGGCTGAGCATATACGCTTTGGCTGGGGGAAACAAAGGGCTGTATGGTTATTCTTTTAATAAGCGTGTGATATCCAGACTTCGTAGCAGTCCATTCATGGAAGATGATGGCTCTTGTAGGGAAGAAAGACATTCATGAAAACACTCTTGATACAGAAGCAAAATGAATCCTCCGAGTTTTATACATCACCCTTTTCACCTAACTATCTTTTATAGACGTATCAGAATCTGAAGAGACTTAATCAACTATCAGTTATCTAGAACATCATTAGGAAGTCTCGAAATGAGAATACTGAAATGGTAACTTCGCCAGTATAACAGAAGGCACATATTCTTTTTATTTAGTCTGATTGAGTTTTTCATGCCTTTTCAGTCACTCTATTTATAAAATATGATATTAATTCTAAATCTTGATTTTCTTAAAATCATAAAAGGAAGAAAGATTAAAAATTAATAGATATTATCATACTTAAAATTTTGAAATAAAAATATTATGAAATGGATTTTATATTAAAGATTGAATGTGAATATTTAATTAAATGTCGATAATCCTAATGATCTGGTTGGTCAATAAGTCCCTGTTAAGCGAAAGCGCCTTCAGTTAGCAGTCTAGGGGATACCAGCAGGAAGTTTGCAAGGATCTGATTGGCTCGTAATGTGTGTTGCTTGTTAGACACTATCATCTCCACCAGTTCGACTTGAATGCCCCTGATTCGGTGCCAGGGTTGTGGGATATTAGCAGAGGAGTGTTTGAACTTGGGTTGAAGGATTGGCATCATAGACTTAATTCTGTGATAAGTGAAGTTTAGAATATTGTTAGATTAAATGAGAATTAACACACAGACCTTCTCCATGTTAAAATGAGAATTCCCATAACACCATGAGACTACCAAGCATTCAGAAGTCAATCTGCACGACATCAGACGTTAGTAAGTAATCAATGCCATCGTGACATTAAGTGTTGATCATCCATGACCATCTCGGTTCCTAATATTTACCCCTATCGTAAAAAAAACCCCAAGCGATTGCAATTCAGTTCATCCCAAACCTCTTCTCAAATCACGTACTCGTATTTTATCCTTGTCGTTACCAAGCCAGCTCCCCACACCTTGGAAGAGACTAATGCAATGTCTACAAAAGGTACGCACAAGGTTACGTACTCACATTAGTGAGACGCTCATTTAGCAATTGGTACCTGTGTCTCCACATGCTTATTTCTACGACACGTAATTCTTGGATGTGGTAAGAAATAAAAAGGAGGGAAAAATACACCAGCCTGACATCACCAACTATCAAGACTCATCATATATCTCATTGCACATGTTTCATAGAGAAGGAGAGAATGTGTTTAATCAGAAGAAGTATTTTATTCCATCTCCAAGTTTTTTCAAAGTTCTAACAAAAGATAACTCTTTGTAAAGTTCAAACAAGCCTATAGAGAAAGAAACCCCAAATTTAATGCGATGTTAACGGACCAACCGAAACCTTTAATCCTTTTGGAAATATACAAGACCAGCGAGCTTGATGCTTAGCCGGTCATTTTGGTGTATATACCATTTCCAACTTATAAACAGATTGAAATGATAACTATGTACTGAGACTGAAAACTATATACTCGGAATGAAAACAAAAAGGCTTGGAACGTAATAAGAGCTCCAACTTCTGATGTTGGAAGAGTCCGGGGAAGATGGACCGAGTATTCCATCTAGAGACATGCTACGCCAGCGAGTATAAACATCCTTCCAACTCCTTAATAGTGGGGTAGCTCCATGCTGGAGTGTAAGCAAGAGGCTGATCGAAGACTGGCTTCGGAGGTGAAGCAACGATGACACCTGAAGGCATTTCCCAGACATCATATGCGTTTTGAGTGGAACCAATGTGCTGTGTAACAAGGAGAGTGCCTTGAATAGCGATGTTAGCCATTGGATGCACACGATTCCAACCTTGAACAATGCTGGCAGCAGTCGCAACTGGCAAGTAGCCTTGAGCATCACAAAAGGTGATGATTGTCAAATCTGTTAAGAAAGTTCTGGCGATGTGTGCTGGAAACGAACCGATCTCTGGTGGAGAAGTTTGACGAAGACAAACAGTCCTTCTTCATTGCTTTCGAATGTCATGTTGAGGTCGGAAAGGTCATCATTGACAGTTATGATACCAATGCGGAGACATAAGACAGCGAGGTAATTGAAGGAGGCTCTTCTAGCATTGGTATCTCCAAAAGGGCTCAGAATTCAAGCAAAGTCAGAACATATAACGTGAAGAAAGCCGCGTAACTACAAAACACTGCGGATGATATCTGTAGTGTCTGCTGAGGTCAACTCATCCCCCGGCAACACATTATTGGAGCTCAAATCAATGGTGTCCATCCGACCCCCTTTTCCGCTTGATCTTTCTCATACGCTTTCTCTTTCTTAACCCCTTTGGTGTTGTTGTCTCCTTTGCCAAAGAGTCATAGTTCAGTGGGAGGAGATGTGATATGGTTCTCGCGAAAGTGCGATCGAATTGTAGATTCCAAACCAATTCCGAGACTGCATTGAATCAGTATAGGTTGACATCCAAACATGGGTTGAGCTTACTCTCATCGCGTATCTCTTTACTCCTCTTCAAGAATGGCTCTATATGTGCTACACCTGACTCGTCCTCAACATCGAATTTGAACTCGCGTTGAAATATGTCATCTGCAAACACATTGCCCTCTGCTTGAGTCATTGTTCTGCAACGCTCAACTATGCGCTTCGCCACATCCCTCATGCGCGAGGTTTCGCAAATTCTGAGTTTCACCAGTCTCAAATCAGCTGCTCGCTTTTTAATCTCACTCGAATATTTTATCAGTAATGTTTGGGAACAAGAGTTTAGATACTCACTTCTGTATGTAGATTCGCAAGGCAATCCTTTGACCTGCAGCAATCTTTTCTCTAAATGATGCTGAACCTCGTCCATCGAAACGCAGGTCAAGAAGGCCGGTTTCAATTTTCATAAGGCTGTTGGCCAGGCTATTTCCGTGTCTAACAACATTCGATAATTCTCTTTGTGAGTGACGTTGCTCCGTGGTCATTTTGTTTTTTCGAATATGTCTTTCACCTCCTGTCCCTTGAGAAGGATTATGTACCACGATATAATCAACATCATATACTATAGGATTTATTTACAAATCGGCGTGCTGGGTTGCTGTGTTGGACCCTGGCCGCTGGAACTCTTGTGAAATGTCTTTCAAATAGTTGAGGATATCCGTTGCGTTTACCTTAGGTCGTTTGATTGATGTCTCCATATCTCCATCAGCTTTTGCTTGTGGTTGCATTCCTGCGCCTTGCGATAACGATAATGTGTATGAATGGGGGTAATTGTGTATGATAATTTCATGTAGGTTAATGGAAGACTTGCAGTATCGATCTATAGAATTTACAAATCCTTAATGGTATGGCAGCTGAGATGGTGATTTACTCATTTCTGGCTCCAGAGTGTTCATGTTCATAGACCGAGATATTCACCTTTATCCTCACCTTTATCCTCACCTTTATTACACTCACTCTTGAACAAAGAACACTTCAGAAGATGAAGTAGAATTCGCTAGGAGGAGTTTCAAGCCGCATGATTCTGCCAATAATGTTTTATTTAAACTTCCTTCTCGTCTGAAAAGATATCCTTCTATCCACATCCTCTGATTTACGAACAACTACCATTTTCTGAGCATACACTTCTACTCAATTCTCTCTTACAATCAAGATCAGACGGAGTGCATTACCTCTTTCTTTTATTTTTGAAACATTACATTGAGACTTTTCTAAAACATTGTCGCATTTACATTTCAAAAATGTCTCTCTCCTCTCTCCGACTAGGAAAATGGGTACCGCATCACGGCACTGTTCTCGAAACGCCGCTCGCGAATGTGCCTTATCCTGCAGTTGATAGTACTCCTGTGGAAGCTTATATGATTCCAGGGCTGACGAAGGAGATCTATAATGCAATGCGCGATTTTATCGATGAATTAGATTTGTATAACGCACTCGACGTTAACCCATGGTGCGAGCTGCGAGATTACGAATATATGAGTATCGGAACACCCGAACGTCAAATTCTACTTCATTTTTATCAGTATGTTTTCTCTGCTTCATATCGAGGTCTCATCTAACATACAATGGCAGGCAACACACCGATCGCAAGGGTGTTTTTGTCAGAGACGCCTATATCAACAGAATGTTCCTTGCTCCATTAGAAGAGTTTGAGCATAAACAAATGTTGGCTGTTGCAGGTTTCGCCAATTTGTGTCTAGAACCTCTTCATATTGAGCAACGAAGAATGATGAATGGCTCATGGGATGAAAATAGCTCTATCCTTCCTCATAATACTGGAGCTACTCCTTGTTCTACTTCAGAGAAAAATCAACTTGTCCCATCCTCAATACCCACTGGTCTTAAGCCAAAGATTCCACGTCCAGCTAATGAGTGGATTCTTTACCGTGCGGACAATCATCTACCCATCAAGAAAGCCTATCCAAGTATCACCAACAACGAGATTTGTAAGTTTTCTAATTTGTTACGTGCTTTGCTTCAGCCTTCTAACAAATTTTCTAGCTTCAATAATTGCTGGAATGTGGGCTGCAGAAACTCCGGAGCGACGCCTGAAGTACAAGATCCGTGCCGATTTGTTGAAGGAGGCTCACAAGAAGGCTTACCCAACTTATAAGTACGCCCCCAGAAAGCCGAGTGAGAAGAAGCGTCGTGTATCCAAGAAGACTCTCAATAAATCAAGCGCCAACCAACTATCTCACAATGTTACCTCCCACTCCACCATCGCCGCCTCCCCCGTCAACTATCCAATCTTAAATCACGACACTTCTGATGATACTAGTATGGGTACAATGGGCACGTTTGGGCTCAATATTCACATGGATCACACCAACGTGTTAGAGCAACAGCTTCAGCCTGAGCACTGCAGACTTTCATATGGTGACGAACCAATGGGTATGAACTTCGCGCCAACAGAAGCTTGGCAAACGGTCCAGCAACAGGATCTCTACACCTTCTTTTCCCCTCAACAACAATACTAAGTATTCTCTTCTCTAATATCACAAACTCACCAACTCTTCACGACGTGACCTGTGTTTCACGACTTACGACTTATGGAAAGGAGTTGGAATTTGGACTTTGATGTCCTATCATTACTGCACTCATTACTGCACTCATTACTTGTACATATTTTTTTCTTTCATGTTTATATAGTTTCTCAGGTCTATAAGTTTCTTTATCAGTTTTATCATTTGAGATCGTGCCAGTGGAATGGAAGGGAATGGGATCCAATTCATTGGACGGATTGTAAATACGGATTTGGTGAATGGTTGGAACTAAAAGCTGTACTTAGATCTCGCATACAGTTTACATGGTCTATATGATATATACAGAAAACATTTTTTACACTTCATGATATTCTCTGATTGCTTCCTACTCTGTGACAACTAGTTGCGCTTTTTCCCCCTCTTGTGTGCCTTCGGTGACACCATTCATCATTGCGAAAATCTCAGCATTTTCTCCTTCATTTTAATTCTAGACATTACAATTCACTTTCTTTTTCCGTGAGTATATGATTTGTGCGATTGTGCGTGAATTTGGGGGGGGGGGGGGGCTGATGAACACTTTTCGCTTGCCCTAATCCCAGTTCGCTCAAATAAGGGGGTGTGAAGGATGGATATCAAAGTGAATGCTTATCTAAGCGAATGGCTATCAAAGTGAATTGTTCCCAAAGTGAATTGTCAAAGTGAATTAGTATCAAGCGAACTGGCATCATGGTGAATTGTGGACTCAGTGAATTTGAGAAGCGAGAATCTTGCTTTTCTAAGAAGTGAAGACTCATCTCGGGAATCTCGGGCATATGCAGAAGACCTCACTCTTAAACAAGGCTAAGACATTGAATTTATGAAGGCAGATAATAATGAGTTGTAGTTGGCTTTAGGATATACAAAAATGTATGTGAATTGGGTGTTCTTTGATATGTATTACTGTCATCATATAAAATGTCTACTTCTTGTTTCCCTGTCGTGACAAAATTATAAAACTTAGATACCATAGTAGACCGGCATGTGTGTGTACATAGATATTCTGGAATTATGTTATTATACTATTGGTATGGCGGGTAAGGTAAATATCTCCTTCTTCCCGCCACTTGTTTATTCTTACTTTGCCTTCTGCGCTGGTTCCAATCTTAAGTTTCCAGTCTCAAGTTTCCTTCCCAGTCCACTCACTACTCCAAATGAATGTATTACAGCGCCACTCTGTGTTCCTTTCTTGCTGACCTGATGGCCCCAGAGGTCGAGGACACATGTAGAAAGATCTACCACGGTTGACACCTTGCTTCTTCGTTACATGGCTGATACATGGCTCCTTGTGTTCGCATTTGGGTGGAATGCGTTTAGTCAATAGCTTTGACCAAGATTCTTTCGCTACTATGGGGTCGTGTACTTCTTTATCTTGTCGTGGTCCATTTGACTTCTCGATTTCCTCGTCCTTGTCTGTGTTTCCCTCGGCTTTCGGGGGCAAGCTGTTTTCTGTACTGCAGCCAGCAAGATACTCCTGATCTACCGATGCTGCAAGTGTTGCTGTTGAAGAATCACTCGTAGACAAGGAAGGAGAATCTGCTGTATGTGCTACTTGCGGCGTCTTAGATTTAAAGAACCCCATCAAACTACTTTGGCCTTTTCCCGGTTGTCCCTTATTCCCCTTACCACTATGTCCTTTGTTCGTTTTGGCTTCTATCTTACTGCGCTTTGATGGTTGTGACACTAGTTGCAATGCATTGGTGGACCTCTTGACTGGTGTAGATGAGGATGATGATATGGAAGACTTTGTCGGAGAGGCTACTTTAGTAGGAGAGGCTACTTTAGTAGGAGATGCTCTGGGTGGGTTGACATTATTGGATATGATACGTGACCCATCTTTTTGTGCTGACTCTAGACTATTTCCAGCATTGGAAAGATTCGAGGGCAAAGCAGCAGACGTCAAGCTGGTAGGCTTTCTGGTGAACATATCGCGAATACTCTGACGTCGATCAAATTCTGGAATTAGTTTGGCAGAGGTTGGCAGTAGATCTTTCATCGACCACTCCCGCACTCTCACTCCATTCTTAAACATATCCTTACTCATGACATCGCGGATATCGATCTCAACACCATCTAATTCCACTCTAGGCTTCAAGGTAGCGAAAACAGGACAATGGTCCGAGCCCATGAGCCCCTCCTGAATATTTGAATCTTGAAACCAATTCTTCCTATCCTCGCTACATAGAACGTAATCAATCCTCGAGCCAAAGTTTCCAGGTCTGGCGTTCATTTTTTGATCCCAGCAGGTAAACATGCCCTTCCGTGTAGGATGAAAGCCGCGGCATATATCCCACAGGACTTGTGGCTCTTTTCCTTCATCTCTGTCTCCGATTACCTTACCTCCGATGAGCAGATGATTGAATAGTCGGCGAGCAGGTGTTGATATGTATTCTTCCACTGTCAACCCTTCTTTCTTCAATCTCTCCTCTACATTGGCTATATCGATTTCCTCTCTGATGATATTAAGGTCGCCAGTCAGGAAAACACTCTTTCCTAGTGCTACAAGATTGCGTACTCGCGTATCGAGGGCATTCAAGAAACCAATGCGGAACTCATCACGAGCTTCGTCACGGTTTGCAGGACAATATACACCAATAAGAATGAAGGCAGGAAATTCTAGGATAACGCATCTTCCCTCCGAATCCAGAGTTGCGGCATCGAGAAAGTAGTCCTGGAGTTGAGCGCCTGTGGGATATCCCCCAATCTGCTGATCCTTTGGGAGATCACGGAAGCTGATTGTGGAATCTGGAGGAGTTAAAACTCCGGTGATACCCTCCTCGGCACGTATTGGAGCGCACACTGAGTTTCTTGTATAGATGGCAACTCCGGAATATCCTTATGTCATCGTGTGAGTACAAATCCAAAAAGTAAGAAAACCAGCATACCTTTCTTGTACTTTGGAAGGCTAAAGTAGACATCCCAGCCTGGCACTAAGACCATATCATCTCTGAGATCTTTCCGCTGGA